AAGAGTGGAATTGCTGGATCCATATGGTAACTCCTTATGAGGAATTAGCAGGCTGTTTTCCAAAGTGGCTGCACTTATATTCCCACCAGCGATGAATGAGCGTTCCAATATCGTCACATCCCTCCCAACCCTTGTTATTAGTTTTTTGTGTGTTTTTTTAATTATAGACATTGGTGATGTGTGGAGTAGTGTTTCATTGTGGTTTTGATTTACATTTCCCTGAGGGTTAAAAATGTTTGAGTGTTTTTCATTTGCTTATTGACCATTTGTGTATTTTCTGTGGAGAAATGTCTATTTGGATCCTTGGCCTTTTAAAAAACTGGGCAATTTTTTTTTTAATTGAGCTGTAAGAGTTCTTTATTCCAAATACAAGTCTTTCATCAGAGACATATTGATCAGGTTTGGGAAAATTTTCTCTCCTTATGTGGATTATCTTTTCATTTTCTTGGGGGTGTCTGTTGCAGCTCTAGGCTTTTAATTTAATGAGGTCCAATTTAGTTTGTCTTTTTTTGCTTGTGCTTTTGGTGTCATCTCTCAAAAACATTGCCTAATGAAGGGCCATGAAGATTTATATTCATGTTTTCTTCTAAGTTTTATACCTTTAGCACCTTACATTTAAGTTCGATCTACTTTAAATTACTTTTTGTATATTGTGTCAAGGAGGAGTCCAAATTCCTATTTTTGTATGTGGATGTTCAATTTCCCAGTAGCATCTTTTGAAAAAAATTATTCTTTCCTCAATGAATTATCTTAGAATCCTCATCAAACATGAATTAATCATAAATGTGTGGGTTCATTTCTGCAAAAGTAATTTTTTTTGTTGATCTATATCTTATGCCATTGCCACACTGTATTGATTATTGTCGCTGTAGTCAGGAAATTTGAGGCCTCCAACCCCTCCCCCCCCAATATTGTATCTTTTCGGGATTTCTTGAATTTCCATATAAATTTTATGATCACTTTGTCAATGTCTGCAAAGAAGCCAACTGAGATCTGCATCAAATCTGTAGATCCCTTTGGGGAATGTTGCCATTTTAACAATGTTAAAATCCCTGTCAGTGAACATGGGATGTGTTTTCATATATTTTAGTAATCTTTCATTTCTTTCAACAATGTTTTGTAGTTTTCAGGATATAAGATTTTGTACATCTGTTGTGAAATTTATTCCTAAGTAGGTTTTTTTTATGCTGTTGAAAATGGATTTAGTACTTTCTTAATATATTTTTGTATTCTTCATTGCATGTATATAGACATATGATTGATTTTTAAAGATTGCTTTTTTTCCCCTTCAACCTTGCTGACCTTGTTTATTAGTTGTAATAAATTTTTAGTAAATTTCATATGATTATTCTATATGGAAAACCATGACATTTGCAAATAGAGATAATTTTACTTCTTTTTCCCCTTCCTGGTGCCTACTATTTCTTGTCTTTTCTTTTTTTTTCTTTTTTTTCCCCCTAAATGCCCTTCCTAGAACCCTAGTATCTCCAGTAGCGTCCCAGAATCTCCAATAATGTTGAATAGAAGTAGTGAGAATGAACATTTCTATTTGTTTCTAATCTTGTGAAAACATTCAGTCTTATACCATTAAGAATGCTATTAGCTGGTTTTTGTGTAGCTGCCCTTCCTAATTTGTTGAATTTTTGTCAAATGCTTTTCCTGCTTCTGTTGAGGTGATCATATGCTTTTTGTCCCTTGTTCTGTAAATATAAGGATATTTGTTGATTTTCAGGTGTTGCACTACTTGGTCATGATGTATAATATAATCCTTTTTATGTATTGCTGGATTTGTTTTGCTAGCATTTTGTTGAGGATATTTGTATCTGTAGTCATGAGAGATATTATGACAGTATTTTTGTAATGTCTATTTTTAATGAGTATGTTACTCTCTAAGCACTGCTTTAGATGCATCCCATAGTTGTGGTATATTGTATCTTTGCTTTCTTTCATCTCAGTGTTTTCTAATTTTTCTTTTGTTCAGCTATATGTTCATTGCATGAATGCCTCTTTACACTACCTCTGACAAATGGACATTTCATTTTTGCTTTAATAATTATTTTGAGGGAAAGTTCACTACTTTGTAAGGTAGCCTGCTCATTTTTAAACATCTCAATGTATCCAGCATGTAAAACTCTACATGTTGTTCTAAGTCACTGATCGGCAAACACATTAGTCAACAGAGCCAGATATCAACAGTACAACGATTGAAATTTCTTTTGTGAGCTGAGAACCGACTTTGCGCATGGGCCATGAAGTTTCAGTCGCACTGTATGTGCGAGTCCACACACAGTATTTTGTGGAAGAGCCATACTCAAGGGGCCAAAGAGCAACATGTGGCTCTCGAGCCGCGGTTTGCTGACCACTATTCCAGGTTATTTCTTTTGAAGTTGCCCCAGTTTATTGCTTCTTCTATAGGATAATTCTCTAAATATATGAACATTATTTTTACTTCTCTAAGTCTTTCTTTAGGGCTAATTATACCCCATCCTATCTTCCTTAAGTTGAAGGTATTATTAACATGTCCTTCATAATCTATTTATCCTTTTAAAAAAGTATTATTTCTTTTAAAATTTAATGTCTCAAAGTAGACATTAAGTCTTAGAACAGGAATCAGCAACCTCCTATTAAGGGCCAGATACAAATATTTAAGATTTTGAGGACCATTCAATGTTTGTCACAACTACGAAACTCTGATTGTAATATGAAGCCACCACAGACAATATATATGTATATGATAAACATGACTTGTGTTAAGCAACAACTGTTTTTACAGAAACAGGTGTCTGTGCCAGATTTTGCCCATAGATCATAATTTGCTGACTCCTGCTGTAGATGTTATCTAACCAGTGCAGAATCTGGTGTGATTATATCATCACTTATGAATGCTATTGCATTAATGGATGTTGAAGGCTATATTAAAATATTCTGAGGGGAAGTTAGATATTATTCTCATATTTGCTCCTCTATAGGTAAGTGTTTTTCCCTCTGGCTTCTTTCAAGATTTTTTTCTTCATCTTTCATTTTAATGTTGTTCCTGCTCTGTATTTGCTGAGTTTTCTAGATTTGTGGTTGGTGTCTGACATTAATTTGGGGAATATTATTGCTTCAAATATTGCTCTGTTCCTTCTCTTACTTCTGGTATTGCCATTACATAAATTTTATGTATGCTATATCTTTTGTAGTTGTTTTCATAGTTCTTGGATATTCTGTTCCAAATTTTGTATAGAATTTATACTATTTCTTCCGTAAATGTTTGGTAGACTTCATCATGATGTCATTGCAGCCTGTAGATTTCTGTATTGCAAGATGTTTAACTGCAGGGGCCTGATCTGGCGGGATCTCCCTTTTCCATGTTCCGCATTTAAGAGAGATGAACGAACTGGTTCTAAGTGGAGGTGCCCAGGGATTGAGAAATAATAGAAATAAAGAGAGAAGACACAGAGATAGATTTTAAGCTGGGAGCTGGGAGGGCCGCCGAACTTCTCTGCTGGAGAGACAGACTGACAACCTCCTGAGCCACGCAGCACATCAATTTATACTCCAATCCAACAAGGGGTTTCACAGGAAAACAAGGAGCCTGGGAGAGCCCAGGCCCCACCCACTCCTTCCTCCGAACAAACACAAGCCAGGAACTAAGAACATCTCAGCACTCCCAGGGCGGGAGTGCAGCTGACATGATTCGGTCAACATCCCTGGCCCAGTCAGCAACAATCTAAAGAATGTCCAGGTGTCTTCCCATTTGGCCCTCTACATTTAACTACATAATCAATTTTCAAAGTAGATATAAGATAATAATGCAAGTTATCTTTTTTTAAGATAAACTGACAGTTTATATGTTTCAAGTATTTTGACAATTTCATTTATTATAAGTTATTAAATTTAGGACATAGGTTGTTCATTTTATTTCTATATTATTAGTTCAGTATCTATAGGATCTATAATGGTGTCCTGCCTTTCATTCCTGACATTTGTAGTTTTTATCTTTTATTTTTTCCTTAATCAGTCTAGCTAGAAGTTTATCAGTTTTTTAGTCAACAGTAGTTATTATAAACTAGGGGCCCTGATGACAGCAACCAGTGCCCTGCGTTGATCTGGCACCCCTGCTGACCTGCTCCATCATCCCGCTGTGCCTGATGCCACCTTGTTCCACGTTCTGCCTTCTGTTGCCAATGCCTGCCATGTTCTGCATGCGCCCCCTGGTGGTCAGCGCATGCCATAGCAACTGGTTATTCAGTTCCGCTATTTAATCTATTTGCATATTAGGGTTTTATATATATGTAAATACTCATTTTGTATGATACAGCTTTTAAAGAGCTTTATTTATATTCTTTTTAAGTATTCAAGAAAGAATCTATAAAATATTTTTCATTATTATCCTCTTTTATATGTGAAAAACTTAGGCCTTGATATGTTATGAAACTCCCTACTGTATGTTAGCCAGAATGACAAATCTAGATTCAAACACAAGTCTAGGTGACTCCAAAGGCTTTGTTTTTGACCACTCTGCTTTATTGACTGGTTTAAAGGATGAATTAAAATCAGGTAAGACCTCTGAAGGGAATCCTCTGTAACTGGGAGCAAATTTTTCATTTTCATCATTGGACTAATATTCACTGTTCTCTGTCTTTGGACCATTCTCTATAAACAGTACATAATACAAAACCTCTTGTTATAAAGTCTCTGGAGATCTGTTAGCTCCTTCTAAAAGTTTCGACCACTCAGAGAGGGTACCTACCAAGAAAAGACAAAATTTGAAGACTTCTGGTTGCCACAAAATACTTCCTAATGCCTATTAAAGTTTCAGAACATGGGATATTCCAAGACCTTTTAGTAACAGCCTGAAATAGTTGTTCTGATGTCATCCATTCTTGCTGGAGTACAAATAAAAGCTTTGATTTTGTAACCTTCCTGCCCTTTAAAATGTAGGCATTCATTTCCCTTCATAGGTCTAAGATATGCTTTTGAAAATAAAAGCTGACACAACCTGCTTGTTTCCTTAGGTCTGACGGTAACTGCTGTAAAAGACTCTGGAGAATGGAATTTGGAGGCTGGGGCATTAGTGCTTGCAGATGCGGGCCTTTGCTGTATCGATGAGTTTAATAGCCTCAAAGAGCATGATAGAACCAGTATCCACGAAGCAATGGAGCAACAAACCATAAGTGTTGCTAAGGCTGGGTAAGTGTTAAATCTGTTTGAATCAGTGAGATTAATTAATACATGATTATGAAAAATGTGAACCTTATTGAACTGTTAAGGTATGCTTGGTCTTCTCAGACACAGTTATCACCCTTCAAAACACATAAAAATTTTCCCACGAAGGTGAGTGATGGAAGTAAAAATTAGATGTTGAAACAAAGAAAGGAAAACTAAAGTGTAAAATAAATGTAAGTTGATTTAATTCATGAATAGCACTTGTGAAGAGCTTTCCTTTCAGGCTCCAACCTATTATCTCATTCAATAATTGTGTGTCTACTCTGGGTATATTATTATGTTAAGAATTTTGAAAGATTCAAAAAGACAAAACATAATGTCTGCTTTCATTGGTAGTCTCCTTATATGTCTTTCTTTCCCCTAATATATCTTACTAGAAGGTTGATCACAGCACATAGGAAAGTAAAGAATAGTACATATTAGCATAAGATGGAGCGCCTGTTTGTCTTGAGGAGGCTCAGGGGTTGAGGTATGTGGATCCTTGGCTATACATGACCAATGAGAGAGAAAAATAAGCAGGTTCAAATAGAAATCCAGGCCCCGAGGTGGTTATGGGAAACTTATTTGGCTACAAAGGCTGACCCCAAGCAGGCTGCCAGGTCAGCCAGGCAAAGGAGAGAGGCAGAACTGTCTTAGCCTTAATGCTACCATTTAGGTGTGAGGCCAGCTGAGCAGGCAGATATGGCTGCCAGCAGTCTTCAAACAGCAGTGGTTACTTGGGAGCCAGGCAGACACTGGTGTTATAGATTATGTGAGAGCTATTTATATACACTCGTAAAAAGGAAAGGGGTTGGGGGGCGGTAAAAGCAGGCCATGGTCCAGAGGGAAAAGGTACAAGAAAACTAGACAGAATTATTAGCAGATCTATTCATTTTACTCAATATATATTCATTCAGTATGTGAATACACTGAGCTGGCTGTATGCCAGGCACTGTGTTAGACACTGAGAAGTACCAACATGAATACTATACTGTCCTTGAAGTGTTTGCTATTTTGTTGGGGAAGATAGACACAAGAGCATCGAAGTGATAAGTGCATAATAAAAGTGTTATGAGAGAACATACTTTAAAGTAATTAATGCTTCAAAACTACTTGTCAAGGGAAAGCTGAGATAATAGTTTACTAAGTGTTTTCAAGGCTACTTTCTCTTCTCATTATGCCTTCATTTAATTAGTACCTTTGCTAGTTGGTGGAATCTGTGGTTTATTTTGATACACCTTTTCCAGATGAAATCTGGAACATTTTGAAAGATTCCTAAATAACGCTGGCATCAGGGAAAATTGGGACAAATGCTAAGAGTGTATTTTAGAAAGGGAGAACATTGGCAGTGCTATATGATAGGCTACGGAATAAATCTTAAGTGAAAATATCTTATTAATCACTCCTACTGCCTTTACCCTCTGCAAGTGGGAATTAGTATGACTCCTCTGTGCTGGTCTAAGTTCCAGAAGTAATGCTCTTGTAGATAAACAGTTCACTATGACACGCACTGACTGGACAGAGTTGTCATTGCTGAAACTCTTCATGCACTGGGACAATGCTTTTCACACTAATTTTGGTGAAGGGCTAGTTCTAATGCTTTTTTCAGTTCATCACACCAATATTTTTAAAATATATATTTTATTGATTTTTTACAGAGAGGAAGAAAGAAGGATAAAGAGTTAGAAACATTGATGAGAGAGTCTCATCATTCAGCTGCTCCTTGCACACCCCCTACTGGGGATGTGCCCGCAACCAAGGTACATGCCCTTGACCAGAATTGAATTTGGGACCCTTCAGTCCACAGGCTGATGCTCTATTCACTGATCCAAACCAGTTTTGGCCACACCAATATTTTTATAAAATTATTTTTTAAATTAAATTAAAAAGCAAAGACACAAAATATAAGCCTAAATTATTCATCCACTTAGGATAGAGAAAACAGTAAGCACATTTTAACAAAAAAAATCCAACTAGCCAACAAAATCATGTCTTGAACTTTTAAGAGAGCTGAGTTTACAAGGAAATCAAGGGGACTTAATTCCAGAGTGTGACAAACCCCTCCAAGGACAGGTGAGGCACACAAACTGCCATCTTTGACAGCTCATAAGTGGAAGAAGTGGCTTCCGTAGAAGCAAATAAGGAGAAATAACTAAAATTTATTTTAAATTCCTTCCTTTCTTTGACCAGCAAGGTGAAGGCTTCTTTGCACTAAAACACGCGTCTTTCACTGAGCCATCCTCCTCAAGAACCACTTTGTTTCCTTTGACATTTTTAAATCGTTGCAATATCGTTTTCAGGATCCCTTTTTTTGTTTTCTCTCTTTCACGTTTCTCAAGTGACTAAAGTCTGATGGATTGTGAAGGACTTATTTGAATTCAATCTCCCTACAGATGTTAGTGTGAACCACTGGATCAGAACATCTGGCTGGCTCCAGGGCTGCAGGGATTCTCAGATTTTTTTAAGTGTGTCATTTCATATACACTGCACAAAATCCACAAAATCATAGAGTTCATTTTTAAAATGGGAACTGCGCACTTAATTATTCCATAGAAACTGTTTTTTGAGTAGAGGTTAAACTTTATCCATGTGGTGGGCGTATACCTGCAAAGGTATATCATAAGCCTTACACCCACCATTCAGATGTGCAGGAGGTTGGGAGGGAACCGGTCAATGTGGTTTCTGCAGTGTGAAAACTTGTTATGGGTAGTCAGAATAGAAAAAATTCTAACACTAAGAGTGTTTAGCATGCCTAGAGTCTATTAAAATGTAATTTAATAGTTGTCATTAACCAAAATATAGGTCTCACTGAATCAGTGCATGTTTGAGAAGACCAATAATTTTGTTGTTCTTTGCTCATGTTACTTAAATCTGAAACCATTTTCAAAATTTGGGATTTTTAAGACCTTACATTTGTCCTGGCTGCTTAATGAAATAGAAAAGGAAACCCAGAAGCTTAAAAGGGGTTATTAATACTAGTATTTGGGTTTAACCTGTCTCTTTAAACTGCAGATCCATTCCTGTGCCCGGGGAGTGGCAGCACAAGGCCTCCTTTGAGAGAGCTTTTTGTGATGATGATCTTTAAGACTAGACTGCTGACCTAAATAATGATTTGGGAAAGATAATGGTTCATTATATGCAAGGTTCTTTTCAAACTTAACTAGGATAGCATCTTATCAAAGACAGGATACAGTAGATTCTTAAATAATAAAGAATATTTCATTATTTCCTAAAGACCTTTAGGAGAAAGTTGGACATTGCAGTTTTATATTTGGTGCTACTAAATTATACTCATACTAGAGGTTAGTGCACCAAATTTGAGTGGGGTCCCTAGGCCTGGCCAGCGATCAGGGCTGATTGGGGCCAGGCCAATCAGAGTCAGGCCAGAGAGGAGGCGACAGTCACCGGGCAGGGAAGGAACGGACACTGGACACCAACATCGCCATCATTGGCGCCCTGCCACTGCTCGGTTTCCTGCCTCCCCCTCTCCTTCCCTCCCCACGTGGCAGATGGATGTTGGGCCGATTGGGGCCTGCCAGCCAGGGGGAAGGACAGGGCACGGAAGGTTGGCCGCCGGCCCAAGGAGGGAGCCAGCCCTCAGACCCTCTGGGAAAGGGGCCACGTCTGCCACCACCTACCCCCATCCCCTCCCGACCCTGCCTGGGGACACAAATACTCAGACCATAACAGCCTCCATTACTTTCTTTTTAACTTGTGGTTAAAAACAGGTACCATAAAATTTACCACCCTAATTATTTTAAGTGTATAGTTAGTTCTGAGGTGTTAAGGGTAGTCATATTGTTGGGCAACCGATCTTCAGAGCTTTTCTATCTGCGCACTAAACAACTTGCCATTGCACCTTTCCCAGTGCCTGGCAACCACCATGCTACTGTCTGTTTCTGTGAACTTGATGGTTGCCTGACCTGACAGTAGCGTAGGTTCTTTTACCATCACTCCATCGGCCACACTTAGTATGACAGCCCTACTTAACTGTAGGGGGATGGGAAATCTAATCTTGCTTTGTTCCCCGGGAAAGGGAAATAAGGCGTGTGAACACATAGCAGCTACCACCACAGCCAGAGTCCAGTTTGGAAGTGAAGGAATATAGGTGAATAAAGCCCTGAGTGAAGTCAGGAATCGCCTGTAAGGGATGTAATGAGAGACCGTCACAAAAACAAGGGCGCCTTCTGCAGGGCCTGCAGTGCTGACAAGAACGTGTACAACATTTAGAAAGGTCACTACTATGTTTGTAGGAAAGTTAGCCTATGTAGATTTAAAAAAAATGGAATAGTAATTTTTTTGAGAAACTGGAATGTTTCCTCTGCAAATTTACCAGAAAACCAACCAACCAACCAACAAACAAACAAACAAACAAAACATATTAGCATGATTAGTTTATAACTTGAAGCCTGTGACTATAAGATGGCCCTGCCTTTTAGAAATACTGAATTAAGTAAGGGTTTATTTTTTTCACTTATTTAGTGCATATTTATTGAGCATTTAATATATGACAGACAATGTGAGGATTATAACAATAACTGACAGTCCTTCAAGGAAGATCAAATTTAATAGGAAAAAAAGTAAGGTAAGTAAATAAATGCCTGAAACATCAGGAAGTACTTACTATGCAGGAAGTACTTAGGATTAGACTGTGCCTTTGTATCTGTGTTTTCAAAAGCCTCATTCAGTTTTGAATGCAGTAATGTTTGTATCACAGGTCTGCAAGCACCAGGCTTACACAGCATTCTGTCTTCCCTTCTCTCAAAGGAGCAGAGACCACTCTGTCCCTCTTGGCACCGTCCCCAGGCCCTTTCTGTGCTGCAGGCAGCTGCCTGACTTACCACCCCACACGGTCCGCTTCCCCTGCCCACCCCTCTACTTCCATGGCTGGCACTTCTGCTCACTGCCCTTCAGGCAGCCATTTTGCTTCACCCAATCCTTCCTTAGCCCCTTTCCTTAGGCTTACTCTTGTCTTTTCCCCCAGTTACCTCAGAAGTAATTCACCACCTTCTTTCTCTCTTTGCTAGTTGATTTCCTTCTAACACCACAAAGTGCTTTAAGATCAGATACCCTACAGATATGTAGGAGTCTCCACAGAAGTTTCTCTCTGCTGATGCTAATCTGATAACCCCCACCCGCTGCGCATGTGCTGTCTGCTGGGCGCTTTGGTGAGCTTCCTCATCTGCCAGCCTTTCTACTGTAACCAGCGGAGGCAGAGACCAGCTTGTTCCTTTTTGAATCCTCAGTATCGCTCTTTGCACAAATGGCTTATAAATATTTGTTGACCAGAGAGGAAGAACAATCAATTACTTTCACCTACATTGGAAATAGTTTTAAGGAGTTATTTCATATGCAATTGTATTTCATCTCATTGCCAGCATTGCAGCAATACTCCTTTTTTGTGATAAATGCCAACGGCCTCACTTCAATGTGGATTACATGTGCTTTGGTGGGATTCATTAGGAACCACTATTACATTGTTTTTAGGGCAAACTGGGTTCTACCTTTACAAAACCATCTGGGCACATAATTTATAAGATGTGGATTGTCTGTTCAGAATATTTCCTTTTTAGTAACTTTTCTTAAAAGGGATTTAGTTTTCAGTGAAAGGGCCTTGTTTGTCTTTCTCTCCTTTAATGGGTGTCTTCTTATGCCACTCACCACACACTGGGATTCTCAAACTCTTCCAGTCTTAGGGCACGAGGTAATTGCTAGAGCCAACTGGAAATGGATCGGGGACTAACAAACGCGGCATATGTCGCTGATGCCACGTGCCGTGACTGCTGAGAGGCGGACATGCCACTATAGTTAAAAACAGTCATCAGCAGCAGAGAATTTACAGGGGGAAATGTTACACTTGTTCTTGTCAACGAATATGCTATATTACCTTGAGGACTTGCCCATCATTAGTAAATTTAAAAACAATATATAAGCCGAAACGGGTTTGGCTCAGTGGATAGAGCATCCGCCTGCAGGCTGGATGGTCGGTCCCGGGTTGGATTCCGGTCAAGTGCATGTACCTTGGTTGTGGGTACATCCCCAGTAGGAGGTGTGCAGGAGGCAGCTGATTGATGATTCTCTCTCATTGATGTTTCTAACTCTCTATCCTTCTCTCTTCCTCTCTGTGAAAAATCAATAAAATATAATTTTTTAAAATAAATAAAAACAATATCTAAGTCAGGCATACCCATACCTCTCTTGCCACTTCTCCATTTAGGACGAGCATGTCAAACTCAAAGGCTAACACGGGCCAGAGAAACAGGGTTTAAGTTATGTGGGCCACAAAAAACAAAAGCTTCCATCTTCATAGAAACGTAGGTTTATTTCTACAGAGACATGTTAAATACAAAGAGCTGACATAAATGAGTAATCCTTAACATAAAATAATACATTTTAATAAAAATTAATATTTTTTCTTGAATATTAACTTACCAGACACTGAATAACTGCACAAAGTAATAAGCGTAATGCAAATAAACTGATTTTTCACACCAAACAAGTTAGTCCAAGACTAATGACGTGGCCATTGGCTACTAAAATTATTCGCTGCTAGTATTAGTGTAGAGAAATGGTGCGCCTGTGTAAAAGGCGTGCAAGGGAAATTAATGCAACCCAATTACAGTAATCAGTCATTAGCTAACGTTGTAGCTCACTATTAATAATTATGTATAAAGGATATTGTAAAAATTAAGTTACAAATTTTTTATTAAGATGTTTCTTACATACCATTATATTGGCTGGGCTGCAAAAATATTTGTTATGGGCCGCATGTGGCCCGTGGGCTGCGAGTTTGGCATGCCTGATTTAGGACTTCGTGCCTCTTCCTAGACCATTGTCCTTGTCTCCTTACTGTGTCCATCCGAAGTCCTCCCATCTAACCCACCCACCACTCCCAGGCCCCTTCCCTTTGCTGTTACTCCTCAAAAACGACGCTAAACAGCCTTTATTTTTCCTCATTTCCCCTGCTCCTCTCCTCCCAGTCTTCATCCTTCTCTCCATCTCTCTATTTCTGTTTTTTGTTTTTTTCACTTTTAGAAAAATTAAAACAAAGTGACACAAAGTTTTTGCTTCAACTAACTCACAATTCTACAAGATCCCTCTCACTCTCTCCATGAATATATATATTCTCCATCTAAAAAGTCCACATCATGAAGGGTCCTGTACAAAAGCTACTTTGTAATGTTCTCCTGATCATCACTTCCGTCCACGTGGATGAATAGATAACATCTTTATTTCTCCTGGGACCGTTATACTTCTAGAACTTACCGTATTCTTCTTTATCTTACCATTATAGCTAGTAGATTGCAAGCTCCTTAAGACAGTATCCATGTTTAATTTACTTTGTATGACTCTTAGCATCCAGCACAGGGTGTGCTCATAGCAGTGTTTTAAGAAATGTTTATGAGCATTTGTTTCTCTACAAGGTAGGCTAGTGTAAATACACTGTGCTGAACTTGGTGTTTGTGATACATCCTTGTATCATTCCACATTCTCTTTCACATGAGTTTCTCTAGATGTTCAAGATGCAAGAGCAGCCACTCTCATTAATAAGTTTAATCTTGCTTTTATTTAAATCTTAACAGTCAATGAATTGCACCCTCTCTTTTGGTAGCCTCGTGTGCAAGCTGAACACAAGGACCACCATCCTGGCAGCAACTAACCCAAAAGGCCAATACGACCCGCAGGAGTCCGTGTCTGTGAACATCGCCCTTGGCAGCCCACTCTTAAGCCGATTTGACTTGATTCTGGTTTTGCTTGATACCAAGAATGAAGACTGGGATCGTATAATTTCCTCTTTTATCTTAGAAAACAAAGGTATGTGAAGACAAACAAATTATTGACAAAGGAAAAATGTAAACACAGCCAAATGAAATTCTCTTCAAAGAAAATTCAATAAATACCCAAGGTACCCTACTAATGGGTAACAGAGAGATGCTTAGACTGACAGCAGGCAGAGGACCAGTTAGTGAGGCAGAATAATGAGCAGGAGGTAAAGGGCCCTTCTCTGTCTGCCACTGATGAGATTATGGTTGTGAATAGTGGTCGAAATCCCCAGCGAACAAGCACCTAAAGGAACCATTTGCATATTGGGCTTTTATTATGTTGGATACTATAGCGTAGAACAGAATTATTCAGAATTAACCCATTTATTAATCTTAGATCCTAAGACTGTTCTAGAACTACTAGTATATACTGTGCAGAAACAGGTCTAGATTTCAATGACCACAAAACCTAAAGCTAATCTTTTTTAAAAAGTATAAGACCTTGGCTGGTGTGGCTCAGTTGCTTGGAGCATTATCCCATACACTAAAAGGTGCTGGGTTCGATTTCTGTTCAGGGCACATACCCAGGCTGCATGTTCAATCCCTGATCAGGGTATGTGTAGGAGGCAACCAATCAATATTTCTCATTGATGATTCTCTCCCTCTCTCTCTCTCTCTCTCTCTCTCTCTCTCTCTCTTTCTCTCTCCTCCCCCCACTTCCTCTCTCTAAAAAAAAAAAAAAAAAAAAAAAAATGTCATATTTGAGGGGATGATTGGGAAGGCCAGCATGCCTTAAGCTGGAAACTTTATTTAAAAAATAAAGAGTATAAGAACTTTATCAAAGCTCTTAAAATGAGATATTTGCCTGTTCTTAGAAATTGCTGACCAACACCTAATATGTACAGGTTACCCAAGCAAATCCGAGAAGCTGTGGAGCATGGAAAAGATGAAAACCTACTTCAGCCTCATTAGGACCCTTCAGCCCTCGCTGTCTGACGTGGGCAATCGGGTCCTCCTCCGGTACTACCAGATGCAGAGGCAGAGCGACTCCCGGAACGCTGCCCGGACCACCATCCGCCTGCTGGAGAGCTTGATACGATTAGCAGAAGGTTTATTTCACTCAGCAAATGAATTTTTATTGGGTTCCTACTATGTACAAGGAATGGGGGTTGACATCATGAGCTCAAAGATGAATACTCCCTACTCTAAGGCGCTCACAGGTGCTTATTAAAGTGAAGGCTCTGAGCTATGAAACCTCCGCTCTTCCAGGACATTTATGGGTGTTGAGTGAAATGTCGTCTCATTAAGAAAGAGGAATCTTTTGTGATAGCTCAGGCTTCCTGAGAGCTCCTATAACTTGTTAGGAGGTCTTATTCACCGAGGTTTATTTCTCAGGGGAAGTCTGCTAGCATTTTGGGTGAGACGCTGCCTTGTTTGGAATTGTTTCCTATGTGGCACCCAGCACTCACATAATGACACCAAATTAATAATGCCAGGCCCTAGCCCATCCTGAAGGCATGAGAGACGTGCTGACTTGCAGCTACCATGCATCTGGAGATGTTTTCTTTTAACATTGGCTTTTACAGTTAGCCCTTGTGTTAATAAATCAAAAAAATTTAACATGAACTGACTGCACCATGTGCTAACTTAATGTATGCTTAATAAAAAGTTCTATAAAATGGATGCACTTTAAAGAAGTAAAGATTTATAGCTAATATTAGAGCAAGAAATACATAAATTTTATGCTCATGAGTTTGGTAGTTTTGAAAAGCTCACAGATAAAGAAAATTGCCAGAGATGAGAAATGAGTTTAATTTTGTGTGTTTCTATAATAGACTAGAAAATGAGGATTAAAAGTTATGGAATATTAAGCATATGCTTAGGTAGTCCCTTTCTTTGCTGAGTATTTTCATATAAATACACAGAGTTGCCATAGGCTGTGCAAAAGGATGTGCCCCTTTATTACAGGAACAGCCTTAAAGCGAGTTGAACTTAGACTTTTGTGCTTGTTCTGTGAAAAGTTAATTTGCTATTAGTAGCTCATTCATAACATACACATTTTTGGAAGAGGATCAGTAGAGTATTACATTTATCACCTCAGATATTTATTTTAAGCATTTCTGTCTTTATGATTTAAACTGTCCCTTATTTTCTCAGCTCATGCTCGCCTGATGTTTCGTGACACAGTGACTCTGGAAGACGCTATTACAGTGGTGTCAGTCATGGAGTCCTCAATGCAGGTAAGGACATTGGGTGCATGCCGAAACCTGTTTGGCTCAGTGGATAGAGTGTTGGCCTGCAGACTGAAAGGTCCCAGGTTCGATTCCTGTCAAGGGCATGTACCTTGGTTACGGGCACATCCCCATTTGGGGGTGTGCAAGAGGCAGCTGATCAGTGTTTCTCTCTCACAGATGTTTCTAACTCTCTATCCTTCTCCCTTCCTCTCTGTGAAAAATCAATAAAATATTTTTAAAAAAGGACATTGGATGCTAATATCTGAACTGTAATTACAAGCATCAAATAAAAGTTTGTAGCATATCAGGAGTTATTATTTAAATGATTACATTCTAGACCTAATAACTTCTAGAAATATATCCAAAGGAAACCATTTATAAAAAAAAAAAAAAAAAAAAAAAAAGGAAAAATATTGTCCTGGAAGCATTCTCTGCCTCAGTATAATTGCTTTTCCCATCGGTATAAAGTAGTGGGTCTCAATCCATCTTCTCCTTGACATACCTGAGCCGACGGTCATGGTCTTACTAGTGAGAGCGTGGCTTCGCAGAGCAATGCTTGCCAGCAAGAACGGGGGAGGAGATTATTGAAATTGGAAAATGCCCGGGTGATTTTCATTTCAAGGTGGGAGTGTGGAGGGCTGGGCTTCGCCATCTGGGACCCGTGGTGCCTGGTGGACTTCTCTGCAGGCTGGTGGTGACTCCCTGCTGTTCTCCATTCCTCACCCGCAGGGAGGCGCACTGCTGGGAGGCGTGAACGCACTCCACACTTCCTTTCCTGACAGCCCTCTGGAGCAGTACCGGAGGCAGTGTGAACTCATCCTGGAGAAGCTGGAGCTGCACGACCTCCTGAGCCAAGAGCTAAGAAGACTTGAAAGGTGAGAAAAGAAAACCATGAAAGGCATGTGATGGGAAAACTTTACTTGGCATTTAGTGAACCAAAGGAAGTTACATTAAGTGAAAGTCTGCCTGTGCTATCTGTAGGGGCTTGTTTCAGTTATCTATTGCTTATAATCAGCTACCCCAAAACTTGGTGGCTTAAAATAAGAAATCACCCCCATTATAGTGCTCACTTTCCTAGGAGACAGAAATTCAGGAGTCTCTCAGGGATGGCTCATCTCTAATCAACATGGCATCAGCTGGAATTATTCATACACCTGCATTTAACTGGGAGCTCAGCCGGTTTGGGATCATCCAAGATGCTTCATTCTCATGTATGATGTCTTCCCTGAGTGGCACAAATGGCGGGGGCTGCTGGGCTCTCTCTGCTGTATGGTAGTCAGGATTCTGCCATGGTAGCTTAGGACTCCAGTGTAACAAGAGCCTGAGCTGCCAGGTATCCTACAGGCTGGGCCAGGACAGAAGCAGAATCATTTCCGCCATGTGCTGTAGGTTAGAGCAAGTCACAAGGCATCCCTCAGGCAGAGTGAAAGGAAATAGACACCACTGGGAGACGGGAGGAGTGGCACAGGCATATGGGAACGGAGGAACGATGGAATGATGGCTGCCATCTTTAGAGATCACCTTCCAAAGCTACATCTTCTTGACTTGCTGTTTTGGTGAGCCTCATGAAAAACGTTTACTGGTTGGTTGCTATATGTGTGTTGAAAACTAAATAAATTTACTCTGTGCAGTTAAATGGATAGCACTGGGTCTCAATTACATGAGGAGCAGTAAGGTAAGCTACCTATGTTCACACCCAATATGCATAGCTGCCGCTAGTGAGTGGGCTCTATCACGTTTGCTTTCACCACTTCTTCCTCTTCTCTTTCGTTGGCTCCCTGTACAAACTAGAGCAACAAGGCGCTGCAACTGCTGTTAAGAAGGAGGAAGTTAGAGTCCAGGAGCCATCTGTCCCAGGCCAGACCCAAACAAAATGCCTACTTGGCCTTCCCAACTTTCCTCATCAGGAGAGGACACGTGCAAGGGAGTTTATATAAAGAATCTCTGTGTTTATTAATATTTTAATTTTATTCTTACTGTTTCTAAACATAATAAATATTTTATATTAGTCCTAACCCTGGTGAAAGAAATTCACGGTAGAAGACTGAGGCGCAGAATTGATTTACGTAGGCCAGCCTAAGTTAGTGCTGGGCAAGTTAGAAATAGAGATAACTGCCGAGACCGATTTGGCTCAGTGGATAGAGCATTAGCCTGCGAATTGAAAGGTCCCAGGTTCGATTCCGGCCCAGGGCATGTGCCTTGGTTGCGGGCACATCCCCAAGTGGGGTGTGTGTGTGTGTGTGTGTGTGTGTGTGTGTGTGCAGGAGGCAGCTGATCGATGATTCTCTCTCATCGATGTTTCTGACTCTCTATCTCCCTTCCTCCCTGTAAAAAATCAATTAAAAATATATTTAAAAAATAAATAAATAAAAATAAAAGACACACAGTTTAAAAAAAAAAAAAATAGAGCTAACTATACTGACCTCCACCTGGTTCCTCAGCAGTTTTCCTTTCCTGCATGCCCAAATCCATGACTTTTAACAATTTACATAGCTAATAGACTTTAAAAAATCCTCAGTGAAAATCAAGTATTTTATTTTAAAGAGGGAGGTCATCCTACTGGTTCTGGAACATCCAAACAACCCGGGAATGACAACAGCAATGTCTCAAACTCTCCTTTCTAAGGACTTGTTAAAATGTGGACGTATGGGAAGGAACGTGCATCACTGAAGAATTTGAAACAACCTGGGCATGTGCCCTGTCTGGGAATTGAACCATGACCTCATAGTTCATAGGTCAACACTCAACCAATCGGGTAGAGCTACTTTCTTGATCAACAATAAGTTACTGTGCAAATAACTAGCAGTCTATTTTGTAGTTACACATATAACATGATAGATAAGACTGAGCATTTTTATATTGACCTTCAAACTATCTTAAATGAATTAAGTGGATTGTCAGACAGAAGGGAAATGTAGGCAAACTCAGTGCTTCATTTTTTTAATTTTAAGGTTAAATTAGAATGATTATCAGATCATTTAATCTCTATTTTTTAAAATATGTATTTATTGATTTCAGAGAAGAAGGAAGAGGGAGAGAGGGATAGAAACATCAGTGATGGGACAGAATCATTGATCAGCTGCTTCCTGCATGCCCCCTACTGGGGATTGAGCCCACAACCCGAGCATGTGCCCTTGACTGGAATTGAACCTGAGACCTTCCATTCCGCAGTCCAACGCTCTATCCACTGAGTCAAACCAGTTAGGGCCTTAATCTCTATTTTGATGAAACCAGGTAATTGCCTCTTGCTGGTTTTAGAGACTGTATTTGGTATTAACCTGGAATTATGTTGGACTTATCCCTTTAGGTGGCATCTCAGACACTAAAGAAATGAAAAGGGTAAAGCAAATATCCTTCCCTTCAATACATGTTTCCTTATTTCTGCTACAGGCTGCAGGATCAGAGTGTGTCCCAGTCCCAGCTGAGGACAGCGGAGGCGGAGACTACGCCAGGGTCCTGGGGACGCGACCCAGGGGGAGAGCCCACATTCAGAACGTCAACACAGCAGGAAGCGAATCATGGTATCCCTTCCTCCCCCACTGGAGGCAGTCCCGGGGGAAGCCCACCTCTCGCCACCCCTCCCCACCGGGGGCCTATCAGGTCAGCACAGAGAGAAGATCCAGCCCAGCACGACAGCAGAGATGCCGGTTTGGATTGGTTCGATTCCCTGACAACTCATCAGATTGAACGGAAAAACACTGTTTCTGTGTCTCCTGGTCCCAGAACAGCTGAGGGGAAAGTGGCTTTGAAAAACTCCAACAGCACATCTCAGGGCAGGGAAGGGAGTGAGCCAGGCCAAAGGAGCCAATTGGAAACTGGACTGCGTCCAGCACCGGCGGAGACAGGAGCTCCATTGAGGCCGGAGAGAGTTGAGGGTGAAAAGGAAAAAAAGGCAGCAGTAGTTTCTGAAACAGCGAGAACTGCTGAGGAGCCGGGCTCCATGCTGACTCATCACGTCCCCAGGAAGCTGCACCGGCTGCGCAGGGAGAGGGCCCAGGAGCTGTACAGCCACCCCGCCCGGGCACCTCCACAGACCACAAGCCCTCCTCATCCTCCCTCCATCCCTGTACGGGGCCCAGAGAGGAAGCGGCAGAAGGCCCTTTCTCTGGTGAAAGAGCCTGGACCTGAAAGCGTTGAGAGTTCGGGCGCCCCTGTGGCCAGACTAGCAAAATTTACTTTCAAACGCAAGTCAAAGCTGATCCACTCCCCTGAGGACCACGGCCATGTGTCTCCTGGCAGAGCTGACATAGCGGTTCGGAGTCCGAAAACCTCCCCGCGTGGATGGAGAGGAGCAGCAGTTCTGTCGGGGAAGCGTCCAGAAAAGTTGGCCTCTGCCTCGGGACGTGGAAGCTCAGCTCTGCTGCAGGAGAGGGCGCCGGGGGTGTCACAGCCGCCATCAGGGGAAGACGGACCAAGAGCCGAGAGGGCACGTGGCCCTGGAGAGAGAGAGATGCGGCCTGAATTTGAGCTCGGGAACCAGACCGGGCATTTGCATCTCACTGGTGAGAGAGACAGGAAGGAAGGGCTTCCGTGCAGCAATAGAAGCAGCAAGGTTCATGCTTGCACGTTAGCCAAGTTGGCCAACTTCTCCTTCACTTCCTCCCCTGAATCCAAATCGACATCCCTGCCTCCTCCTGAGAGTCAGAACTCGGGCGAGAGAGGCCCAAGCCCACCTCCCTCCACCGTAGCTACAATGCTTGGCAGGAAAAGGAAAACTTTCCAGTTGGAGGGGTCCCCCGAGAAAGCCAGTCTTTCCAAAAAGTCCCTCTTTACTTTACCAGAACTAGAGGACGAAGCATTGGATTTTGATTGGGATGAAGAAATGAGAAAAAAGCCGTAATCATGAAAAGCTTGCTGGTCAAATTTCATCTTTCCCAACTCGACACAGCACCTTTGGGATACCTTCACGGTATTTATATATATATGTACAGACCACTGGCCATATTGAGTGCCATTCTAAATCCCAGCTCCCCACGCACATTTTGTCATTTCAGGTTTATGATTCATCAAGTTGTTTAATCATTCTAGGTCTATATGACACCAGTCCTTGGATCAAATTAATTGACACTGTGCGCCATTTTGCAGAATGGAATACTCGCATTCCCAAAGATGTTTGTTTGCTTTGTTTTTAAGGGCAGGTCTTCCCAGGATTCCTTCTTTCATTCACTCAGGAACAAATACCAGGATAGTAGCACTCATAGAGCTAACAAGATAGATGAACTCTTCTATTTTTTTCTTTCTTAACCCCATGATGTACCAAGTGTGGTGAAAATTTATTTGACAAAATTGTACAATTTTTCTAATACTGTTTTTGTGTTTATTGTTGTAAGATTAAAGGTGACTAATGCTTTTCTTTCTTTGAGAGGCACCTCACAGTTCCATAGTATTCCTAAAGATCTGGCAACTGGTCCCATAGTAACTCTCTGAAGTAGTGGCCTTTGAGTTTGTCTTTTCTTCCTTCAGCCAGTATTTTGTGCTTTGGATTATTTTTATCATTTGGGGACTTCCCTTCAACACAACTTCAGTCTTGTCGTTGAAAGGAAAGAGAGTATGCAGTTGTCTCAATCACATATGATGGCATCTACCCAAATAGTTAATATGGAAATGTGATTCCTACTATTGTGACTCATTTGTCTTCAAAACCAAACAAATGCGACTCTATTTGGTAGTAATAGACAACCCAAGCTGTGTCTTAGGTCCTTTAAAATCACTCTTTCTTTGGATTCTAGCAGAGACTCTTAGGAATTTACTATTGCAGATTTTATATGAATTTGTAAAAAAAAAAAAAAGGAAAAAAAAGATTCTTTCATTGAGGGATTTTTAGACATAAGTAGTGATTTAAAATTTTTTATTGCACATTCTAGTAAACCTAAAACATCAAGATTATGATTTTGAACATTTATTATTTCTGGGCTTAATAACCTCATAGTTAGTATGAGTCTTAGTGCAATATATTCCTAACCTTTCAATATTAATACTTTCCTGGGTTTTAGTATTTTTACTAGAACTTAAGGGAAAAAGGAAAGGATTTGGGTTATTGACTGACTAGTTGATTCTTGATCTGGACTTGTTCTGATTATGTACGTATACAAGGGCAATTCAGTTAAACCTGAGCCCACAGTGTGGGGCTGACTGTTTTGTTTTGCTTTATTTATGATAAACTTTTAAAATACCTTTATTAAAAATTTTTGTCTTTGAAACTTGGTGTCTTTTGCAGTAATGATGTATTAAGCTTTACATAGATGATAACACCTAACCTCTTGGCTTATCGTTTAGGATATTTGATCTGTTCTTTTTTATCATTTAAAATGATTGTATTTCTGCCTGGCCAGTGTTGCTCAGTGGTTGAGTGTTGACCTATGAAATAGGAGGTCATGGTTCGATTCCCAGTGAGGGCACATACCTGGGTTGCGGGCTCAATCCCCAATGGGGGGTGTTCAGGAGACAGCCAATCAATGTTTCTCATCAATGATGTTTCTATGTCTCTCCCCCCTCCCTTATTCTTTAAAATCAATAGAAATATATTTTTAAAAAAATAAATAAATAAGAAAAATTATGTATTCTTTATCAGGAATCTTGATGCTAGAGCTTTTTACTTGTACTCAGCATACATCCTATTTGTGCTAATGAAGCCATATTTTTTATTTTAGTTTCTGATAGGAACATTTGGCCAAGTTACAGTTTCATGTGTTTGTTCTTCAGTGCTTACCCAGATGAAAATAACTACATATGTAAATATTATAAATAGACATCATTATTAGAAGTAATAAAATATTCAGTGTGAACACTCCCCCATTTGCTAAACAATTAAACTTGTATCACAGCCTGCTTTTGTGTTACGACTACCTTGCTGTGCTTGTATTTGATGCTCAAAGTCTCACAACTGGGTCAATAGCAAGTCCTTTATGCTGATACTAGTGTTCCTTCCTGACTGACATCGCTAAGAACATCCATGCTATCTAAAAATAGCAGCATGTCCTAGACCCAGTTTGATGTTCTTCCCTGCCTCGAATCATAGAATCAAGGCACTGTGTTTCCTTTAGAATCAATGGTGTTAGAGGCCAACTGAGTGATTTCACAACTGAGACTTTCTCTTACATGGTGTTCAGCATTGTACCAACATAGTACACAGGCATCTCGGGAAATATGTACAGTCTCAGAAATCAGATAAAGGAAAGTGTGAAAATAACCTTTAATTCTGAATCAATATATCCAAATATTTTTATTTTGGGCCAGTGGACTCCTTGAAAACATTTGAATAATGTAAAATTATTTAAGCACAATAAAAGCTGTACCTCATTTTCTTTGTGAGAGAACGAAACCAGATATTTAATTCTGTTACAACTACGTAAAAGAATTGAGTTTTCCTATACTGTAAAAGATATACTCTTCAGGGTGTATGTGATATTCTATAATTTATAACAGGGATTTCATTGTAATTTTTAGTGTTTCTTTAAAATATAGACAAAACAAATGTATTATTTTGGTATCTTTAACTCTGGGTGAATTCAACCAAACTTTAAACTTTTTCTGAAGGAATACCAAAACTTTAGTAATAGAGATCTATTCTTAGTTGACAAATTTCAATTCCAACAAATCTACGTATTTTTTATGTGTATATTGGTTTCTATGCCTTTCCCAAATGCTAACCCTGCCTAGCTGGTGGAATTACTGGAAAACCAGTCAATTTTAGGAAAACCTTCAGAGCTCACTTTTAGGCAATGCACAACATTTGGAAGTTCAGACCAACCTACCCTGAAGTCTAGGTCATGAGGGACTACCCGGAAACCATGTCAATCTTTCAGATGCAGCTTATCAGACAACCTAATTCCAAATTTAGCAAGCTCATAATGTGGCAAGCTAGGCCAGTGCATATTCCTTGGTGTTCAGAATAGCAACCTTTGTGTCTGCTTCCTATATTTTTAACACAATGATTTTAAAAAAGGCTCCTGGCTCATATTAATATTTACTCCAGTTAGGGTTTTGCTTTTTGTGTCCCATCTTGCAGGTAGCACAGTACCCACACTATCTCCTTCACTGCCACTCAGAGTTCATGCAGGAAACACATCCCCTGCCACGTAGGAAGCTGGCCCCTGTGATGCCCTCTCCTGTTGTTCTTATAGCAGTTCCACCATCTTCCTCTCTTCAAGGCTTAAAAATACGCCTAAAGGTAATATTTGTAAAAGAGAACTTAGCAGTAATGTTAAATTAGGCTACCCTGATGATCTATGCATGTGAACACTCCAGAGCAAGTCGGGAAGGGAAATGGATATTCCCACTGGGCCAGACCTCACTAAAAAGTAGGGTGTCAATTATGTTTGAGCAGAGATGGTTTTTAGGCCGCTCTCTAGGTTTGGTTGGAAGCTTACACCCTGGCTGAGTCGGACCACCAGAAAAGCATTGAGAGCAGAACATACTTTTGTGGGACCAACTTGGTTTCATTTAGGATTTCCGTAATAATCCAAGCCACTGCTCATGTTTGTTGCTTAGTATCTCCAACCTCACTTTTCCAGTGCAATGAGATCGGGTAGCAGGGCACAATCAGGAATCCGGCAAGTTGGGTTCTAGAACTAAATGATCATTGCCTGCAGCGTGGCCTCCCTGTATTCAGTAACCTCGTCCACAGAGCAGAGGATGAGGCATTCCTGAGGCAGGTACTCATTTTTTTTCAGACTTAACGACATTCTTCCTCGTTCTCATTAAAGTTGACATCTGAAAAAAACATGCATATGAATCTGTACTCTGAGTGGTAATTTCAAATGTTATTTTTTTGGTAGAATGTAAAAACAATTGTAAGAAAAAAATATTGTTTAGAGAGAGGAAAAGAACAACCCTACAATACTAGTGTGGTGCAGGTATGTTCAGATAGCAGTGCTTTCCTAACATCAATCAATAGCAAATGTTAGGGGTGTGAGTGTGTGTGTGTGTGTGTGTGTGTGTGTGTGTGTTTGCATGTTACATGTGTGCACGGGCCTGAATCAGAAAGGTATGTGAAGCGTTCTCCAGTAGACCACCTGCCTTGTGATCACAGGTAAGTTGAATGTAACTAAACACAATGCAGCGGAACAGCTGGGCCAACAGCTGGTGCGGCTCCAGGGCCACATGGTGAGCCCTGCAGGCACACCTGCCCTCTGTGAGCCAGGATCCCTGAGTCCGGTAGAGTGAGATACAAAAAAGGAAACCTCGCAAGCTAGCTGACATGAAAGTGAGTTTCCCCTAACGAGGCCTCAGTGAGGGCGGAAAACAAGGTCTCACCAGGCTGCCTGGCCCTGGAACTGCGAGTTCTCTCAGCCTCTCCTGGGCCTCAAGGTCCCTCATCGCTGCTCTCCGGGCAGGTCACTCCCAGTGGCTGCCCTGCTCCAAGGCCCAGCTTTCTGTGCTCCTTAAGGCTCCTCCGCTCCAGGTACAGGGTGACGTCTGATCTGGTTTGGGGTCTGGCTCCGGCTGTGCCTTTGACCATGCAGATAATGCACCTGTTTTCATCTTACTGATTCAGGCTCTGTGTTCCTTGGGTCAGGAGGTGTGGGGAAGGGACGGTGTGTGTGTGTGTGTGTGTGTGTGTGTGTGTGTGTGTGTGTGAGTGTGTGCGCGCGCGCACAAGTGGCCAGCTGTACAAACAGCAGCTAGAGCCTCCAAAAGTATGAGGTGCGAGGCAGCCACTGGCCAGTCTATCACACTTCTGTCGTCACACGTTTTTGTTGTTACAGGTTCTAAAAATTCTATGAACTTTATTGTGTTAATCAGTTACTGGGTTGAAAGAGCTTGCTTTTAAAGATAGTTGGATCATGTTTCCCAAGGAAGCCAGATAAATTCCTGACCCGAAAGCACCCAGCTGGTTCT